TCCCATTGGGCGTTTCGAAGATTGTGGCAGTTGCTTCTTTTCGGCCTTCTGGCGGCCTCCCGACGGTCCAAAATGCCCCAAGATCGTCCACACGACGGCTCAGAAGGCTCCCAAGACGGCCCAAAGAGGGCCCAAAGATGGCCCAAAAGGTCTCCAAGACGCTCAAGATGGCCTCCAAGGCGGATTCGAAGCGCCCCAAGAGGGCCCCAAGACGGCCCAGAGAAGCTTCCGAGACTGCCAAGGAGGCCACAAAGGCCCCCAAGAGGCCCAAGGAAGCTACCAAGAGGCCCAAGGAGGCCCCCAAGGACGCCTCCAAGAGGCGTCCAAGACGCCCCCAGGAAGCTCCCAGGAGGCCCCAAGAATAACCCAAGAAGCTCCAAAGAGGTATCGGCATCCATCTCCTCATCCTCCTCTTTTTCCACAACGTATTCCCCGAAGGGCCTCCACAACGGCTGGGGGGAACGCATGGTCCAGCAGCGTGGCCAAGCTTTGCCCAAACGATTGGCAACGTAGGCGAATCCTAAACGACAGGGGGCGACGGTAATTCGCCGTAGGCGTCTTCGATATACATGCATACGTTCACCTAGTATAGACACCACGCACGATTGACAGCCTCCCTGGCAAGGTAGGCGTCCTCGGCGTAGAATCCGAGGAGGTCGTTGAACAGGGCCTGCAACCACCGTACATATCCAACAGTGCACTCTGGATCAACAAATCTACGCACGTGCGCAATCAATGATCAATGATCTTCGTGGACCCGTATGCGCAAGGAACATGTGTTTCGTAATGAAACGCTTTGTGTGCGACCAGGCCCTTGCATCGAAGTATGAGCCAGCGTGGACCCCAAACAGTGGGTCCTTGTATTCTCGATATGACGTGGTTGTGGTGGTGCAATCTGTGAATAGTGGCCAATGTGTTGCAACCTATGTGGTGCAATGTATGTGGAGCCTTGTTCGTGGTGCACTTCATGCGGTGTAAATGGACGGGATGCAGTACAGTTGGGGCAAAATGTGTGGCCCGATCTTTTTGGTGCAACCCATGTGGTGCAATGTATGCCGTGCGATCTATGGGTCGTGCACTACGCGGTGCAAGCTATTTGGGCGACGATCAAAAACGGGTCTTGCACGAGATGGCGTAGCGACCTTACGCGGTGGCTTACACGGGCCGCCAGCGCGGCACTCCACATTGGAGACGAGAGCGCTTACCCGCGACCTTACGCGGGCAGCTTACGCGCCAATGTCGGTCCAAACTACCCCGTTTCTTTGCGTCGCTCATGTGTGCATCCAGACACGCCAGCCAACGCACGGGACCACCCACAAGCCGCAGACGGGCGCCCGCTGGCAGAAAGTCTGAAGTCTGGACACGCGAGCCATCACACACAGCGCCCAAGGGCGCACCTAACCAGAGCACGAGGCCCCCACGAGGCTCATCCGGGCGCCCACCAGCCAGAAAACCCGGAAACGTCAGCCAATTACCTTCACACCAGTGTAAGGGGTCCTGAGAGCATGCACTGCTTGGGGTGATGTGTTTTCAATCTGGCGAGCTTTCGCAGACGAGTTGCCGACAGGCGTTTCTCCACACTTTCTAGGGAAGGAACCACTCCGACACATATGGGGACGCATTCCTGGACCATGTACGATAGAATCGATTGGACATGCCAGTGAAGAGATGATTTGTATGAGATGATGTGAGATGATGGGCTCTTCCAGAGGGGTTGGTCCAGGCACTCCGGTGCACCCCCCTGGAAACTCTGGCGGAGCTCGCGAATCTGCCTTCCGTGGCCTCAAAAGCGTTGACAGACGTTCCCGGATCGCGGAGCGATTGGCGCAAGACGCGCACGATGGCTGCAAGACGCCCCAAGACGCCTTCGAGACGCCCCAAGAGCCTTCCCAAGAGGGCCTTGACAGGCAAAAATCAATGGTTTTCCTTTGGTTGCTTCATTGTGTCTGGGGTTCTCGTCTTCTCGAGCTTTCAACGCTCCAAGACGGCCCAAGATGCCCCAGAGACCGCCCCAAAACTGCCCAAGAGGCCCCTACGAGGGTCCCAGGGCGGCCCAAGAGGGTTCCAAGACGGCCCAAAGAGGGGCGAAGACAGCCAAATATTGCCCCAAGAGGGCCCCAAGAGAGGCGAAGAAGACGAGCACGAACCCAAAAGACCCCAAGAAGCCCCCAAGCGGCCCAAGAGGCGCCCAATAAGCCCCAAAAGACCCCCAAGAGGCCCAGAAGAGGCCCCAAGGCGGCCGCCAACACACTTCAAAACTGCCTTCAAGAGGCTCCGCCAGGCTCTCAAAGAGCTCCCAAGACGCTATCAAGAGTCCCCGCATAGTGCCCAAGAAACCCGCGGCGCCTTAGGCGTGGACTCCACGCCTCGTCTGGGGGTCGGCAGAATGCGTAAACCTCTTGAATCTGATCTACTGACTGCGCGCCATGTTTGCTCGCGCTGTCACCTCCATGCGGCTGAACTACCCAGAGGTGGAAGGGGAAAACATTCAGCGAGCCAAGGCGGCTCTTGAGTCAAACCTGAGTATCGTTTAACCGATCCCCATCCCCAGCGGCGTGGCCTGGGCCACGCTGGCCGATTTGCCCACCTGGATGGGGGTATAGGTCGTTCTCTTCGGGTTTCGAGGGGTGTATCCCCAACTAGGGTGGTCATTTGGTGGGGGTCTCGAATGGGATGGAGATGGGGATGGGGATCGGATAAACGATACCGGAAGCCGCCGTCAGAGGAGCAACAACGACTCTGGCTCTCTGAGCCGACCGCGGGAACGAGCGCCTGCTCGTTTGGGGAAGCTCGAGCACGCTGGTGTTGTTTGAACCTGCAACATTTACAGCAAGAATGCCGTGTAAGGATGCGAGGTCCTTGGACGTCCACGTCTGGACGATTCCGGCGGCGGCGGCGGGCCCAAAACCATGAGACGCAGGGCCAAAACAGCATGCGTAGGATGCAAGGAGGCTGCCTTAACGGGGTACTGCAGCCTTACACCTTGTGTTGGCTGTAGAGCTCGCAAACAGCGTCTGCTTCCCTCACGTGCGCGTCGCGATTTGAGTATCCAGCATTTCTTCAGGCTGCTGTAGCACTTCCATCGCGCGTGCAACCTTCACAATCAGATCTGCGTCTGGGATTAGCGAATAACAAAGCACACCGCCTGGACTGTAACGTCGTTAGCTAACATGGCACACTAACCCCATGTGGGTATAGGAGATGGTCGTAGTTTCACGATCGAATTTGCAAGTGGAAATTCAATCAACATTCGCGTGAACTGAAAAACACCACCACGTCTGGGCTTTAGCACTAAAACTATGTACACAGTCCAGCCAAGTGACTCTTGGATGATCCCAAGAGGCCCAAAGATCTCAAGGCTCTGCCAAGATGGCCTCGGGCTGTCAGAAGCTCCAAGATAGATTTACGAAACTCCCAGATGAATATACAGCTTCGCAATTACATCATGCCAGTTGAATATGGCCTCCATAGACCCCGCGGCAGCCCAACATGCCCCCAACATGCGTGAAGGATGTATAGGAGGGAGAGGACGGCGGACGCATGGAGGATGCGGCGGAGGTGAAAGGGGGATAGATATGGGCCTCATGCGACCCTGTCTTCGAAGAGCATCGCCTGCCCCATGCCGTGTTCTCGTTGAAGACTGGCTGAGGTATACTGACTCTCACATTTCCCTAAGATGGTTCCAGATGTCCTGGACCACTCACCTCCGAGACGGCCCCAATACGTCTCCAAAGCGGCCCAATCTTGGACGAAAACGACCCACATACCCCCCCACCAAGACGGCCCCCGGACCTTCCAAGCCGGGCCCAACTCCCTCCCAACATGGCCACAACTTGCCCCGACAGGCCCCACGAGCGCGCAATGAGGGCCCACGCAAGCCTCAAACCCAAGAGGCGCACGTCCGGCCCGGCGAGTGTCGAGGCCCTGCCCCTCAGCACCACCATTCGAGGACCCGAGGATTGCGACGGATTCCCTCGAAGCGCGAGTGCCCCTCTGGATGACCACCCACCCGCAGAACCAATCAGTCGGTTGACCGACGGCGTCACGACGGGCCGCCACCTGGGCACCTCCGCTGAAGAAGACGAGCACCCCGCCCGGCGAAACACGCGAGGGCAGCGGCAGCGATTGGACCATACCATCGTCAGCTTCTTCGCATCCGAGATCTGAGCATCTTCCCAGGGTGAGGGCTCAGGGTGAAATTCATATGGGCTTTTGCACCTCGAAGATCAGTCCGTCTTGTGACTCACCTTTTGCAGACTCAAACCTCGGAAATCAATCGAAACGGCATTTCAGATTTCACCCTGCCCTCCACCCAACGAACATGCTGGGAAAATGCTGGTGGGCAACAACACTAGAGCACTTGACGACACTGGTTGCCGCTGGTGCGTGCAACTCGCCAGCGACAGCTACTTGTGGCGCAGTTTGGAAGGACAATATGTCACACGTGCGACGGCTTCCAGGTAAACGCCAACACCATGGCATAGAGGCCCCAAGTACCCCCGCGCTGACCCTCAAGTGTCCCGCTCCCGCTGATCTGCTTCGCTTCGCTTCGCTTCTCCTGGGAGTCACAGGTATGTGAAATGTGCACCGACCCGCCTTATGTTGTTACTCCGCCCACAGCTGCCCAGCCTCGAAATCCACATGCTGGAAAAACATGATGCCACGAGGGGGACCAGTGCCATCCCCACGACTTGTCGAACGTGCAACCACGCGCTTATGAGATCTTCCTCATATCCACCAGAGCCTCAACCACCTTGCCCCGTAGACTACCGCAAAGGATCCTCGTATGATTCACGTCAGCCATCCATTATTGCTGCATTTCCCCAGACCACCCCCCAATCACCTCCAAAAATCTCACCCACCCCCTCGTCTCCTTTCCTTTCTGCATCATGTTCTCGTTCTCCTGCGCCGTCCCCTGCACTGGTCACCCGATGGCCCTTTCCTTCGGGGGTCAGCCGAATGGCGTAAACCTCTTGACACACATGGTGGGGAGGCATGACAAAGAGGCGTAACATCCGTCTCCAGACAACACCCCTCAAAGCTACGACCAAGCAGCTCTCGAACCCCAGGAGGCTGGATGAAGGATGAGGACGGCGACGAGGACGAGGAGAAACGATCCGATCTCTCAACCACCCCCCGTGATTTGATTCCAGCCACGTTCGAGCCTGTCCCGAAGCGCCGTCGGAATATGCGTGCGTGATCCCGAAGTAGATGTACCTCGGGCACTGAGGACTGTGGCGAGTGGGAACCCAAAGCCCTTGTCCTCCATCTGCTCCTCCAACTCAACTTGCTCCTTCTCCTCCTCCACCTACCTCTTCATTGCCACCTGCTTCTCTCATCCTGCTCATCCTCCCACCCTGCTCTCCCCCTCCCAGTCCAGCTATCCGTCCCCACTGGTATTCCTGCTTCTCTCTCCTCCTCCACCTGACAAGATCATGAAATATGTAAGAGGATGTCGATCAGAGGGATGTACGGGTGAAGGGATTCGCAAGGCAAGGGAAGGTCCTCGTCATTGTGCGGTACCACTGCTTTTCAGCGTCGGGTTCGAGACGTCTCCAACCTCCAAATCAGAGATACATCGTGGATCTTCTTGCAGGAGGAAGGTGGATCCGCTGGTAGTGGTGGCGCTCCCTCCTTCCTCCGGCTGGAGATAATCACCCAGAGGCCTTGAAAGGACTGCACCAAAGACGTCCAAAGCCTGGAACATGTTCTTCCCTCTTCACCAAACTGCCGATGTCCTGATGTCTTCCAACGGGGCCTCTGGGGGCACGGTTTTCATCCCGAGTCGCTTTTACAACACCCTGGAGACTAGCAAGGGGCCCAGAGCCGAAGACAACCTCCCGTCGTCCGATACGTCGCCGATGCATCAGCCACGCTGGCAATAGATCGGCGACGTCGGCGTGGAGAGAGTCGGGCTCCACATCGTGCCGCATCGCCGATGCATCGGCGATGCCCCGCAATCATCCGACCCCATCTGCTCGGACCCCACTTGGGGGACCCGGATTCGATGCCGACGACGAACGACGACGACGACGACGACGACGACGACGACGACGACAACGACCACTTGGGGGCGCGCCAGGCCACGGACTCGGGCGGCATCTGCGTCGCCAACTCCACGGCGGTCTTGCCGCCGGCGCCCTCCGGCACGCCGCGGTAGAGGGGCACCTGATGCCGAGGGGCGGCCAGGCGCGGCCACGGGGACGGCGGTGTGTGACGGCCTCCGCCTCCTCGCTTCGGGCGAGGACCGGGGGAGGTCTGTGGACGTGCTTGCAACGGGGGGTGCAGTCGGACCTGGGCCACAAGAACATCCTCCAAGAACATGAGACCGTCGGTCGGCCAAAACGCACAGAACATCCAAGGATATCCTCGCCAGAGAGCACAAGAACATCCAGCAAACACGAAGAACACTAGAGTACCCTCCCTGGACCGACCTCGATCTTATACCTCGACCCGGCGACTGTATGGCAACCCTACACCCCGGCTTTGGGGGTTTTCGACCGGACCAGAATTTGTGGTCCAAACTCTGAGATATACGATAGGGGGACGTCAATCCTCGATAGGAGTGCTTCCGAATAGCCCCCTGGGGGTGCATCCCAGAGTTTCCCCCCTGTTCTGAGCGGCCTGACGTTTCGAGCGGAACTCGGGGATTGCAGGAGAACCATCGGCTGCGATGTGTTGCCCTGTGTGGTGAGGCAGCGGCAAGAAGCCCAAATCGGGCAGCTCGGCACCTCTGAGAGCCTGCGAATCCTGGAGGACGCGTCCAGCGCCGCGGACGTTTCCGAAAGCTATGAAACGATTACGGCAGGCGTGGGAGAGATAGCGTGCAGCACCGATCTCCGAAAGGCACGCTGTCCCCATGAGGCGATCCCCCCGCGAGGACCCCTCACGTGAACGCCATGCGCCTGCCAGCCAGGGGCTCCTTCGGTGCACGCTGTCCCCAAAAGCCGGGGAACAGCGTGTGAGCAGCGGGCCCGCGGCGCCACGCCGCACGCTACCTCTCTTTCCGCCCCCAGCCGTATCGTGTCTCTTAGGCCTGCCTGACTCGGGCCTGCCGAAGTCTCCCAGGGAGCCGGGCCTCCTGCGGCTCGGCAGACGCGCGCCCGAGGGAGTGCGACCCTGTCGGCCTCCTGGAGGCCATGGGACCGTTGGGAGATCGTCTCGGGTCGAACGCTCCCGGGGCTGGGGAGGGTCATGGAGGAAGGGTAGGGGGGGCAAAGGGGACAGGAGCGGATGGAGGACCGGGATAGCACCTTCACCTCCACGAGGGGCACGCCACATATGCCTACCTATTGCCTCAACATCCTTTGGCACCTAAACATATACGAATTAAAACGAGTTGTAAGGTCATTCAATGCGCCTCAAGATGGCCCCCAACGCGACCCGAAGAAACTCCCGCGACGCCCAATACGGTTTGAAGACGAAACAAGATGGACCCTCAAAAGCCCGAGGGGCTCCCAACGCGACCCCCAGGAGGCCCCCAAGAGGGATAGAGCATTAACATCACATATCACATGTGATATTTGTATTATGTCGGCACCTTGTTACTCTGTGTTCAGAACGCCCAAACGATCCAAGACGCCAGAGCTTGCCGAGGAGGAGCCAAAACGACCCTGGAGAGGGCCCTCCCCTCCACAAGAGGCCCCCCTCAGCACGCTCCCGCGCATGGAGGGCGCGCGTGACGAGGAGGGCAGCAGGAGAGGAGAATGAAGGGGGTAGAAAAAGGTGTAGGACGGGGGCAGGAGGGGAGGGGTGGCGGAGCAGTGGGATGACGCGGAGGGTGGGATCAGAAGAAACAGGAGGGATGAACGAGGAGGAAGAGAAGGGGGGCGAGGAAGAGTACGCAGATATGGGAAGGGAGGGAGGAGGAAGAAGGACAGCTAACGCAGCGACGGCCTGCTGGTCGACCAACCGTGCCAGGAGAGCATTGGCAGAGCGGCCCTCCTGGCTCACACGCGCAAAGACCTTCGGCAGCTGGAGGCTCTCTTACTCCTCGTGCCTGCAGGGCGCTTCCAGGCCTGCTCTGGTCCTCCTGGTGGTCCTGAGAGGCTCGGCGTCCTCGTAGTCGAGCTTCGCAAGCGTGCTCCTCGCCGTCGCTTGTCGCCGTCGCCTGCAGCAAAGCCGTGCGTATCCCTCCCTCGAGCTGCCGTGCTGCGATGTCTGCGGTGGCGTACAGCATTTCCTGTCGCCTCTCCTCGAGGCCAGGCTGTGGGTCTGAGGAGCTGCTGCCTACATGCCTCTCTGGCTTCTCCTGGTCCTCGCCCTCACTGCCCTCGCCTGACCAAGGGGGGGGGGGATTAGGAGCGCGGCGCATCGAGGTCTTCGAGCTTCTCCTCAACATCGGACGTCTCATCCTCGGACCAACACTTGTTCTCTACCACGTTTTCCCGTACGCTCGTGTTGTGGTCATCTCCCCCCCTCTCCACCCTCTGAGCCTGCTCAGATGCCTGGCTGGCCAAACTGGCGCACTCATAACTCGTAGGCGTCGAGGAGAGTGGGAACAAAAAGCAAAAAGCAGCGGACTGATCTCCTTCACTTGGGAACACCAAAAAATACCGATCTCGCTGCCCACCGGACCCTACCCCAAGTATTGCCATGCTGGGCGGCGCCCCTGGGAACTGGCGGCTGCATGCGCAGGGATACCGCTTCTGGGCCTGTCTTGCGCAGAAGCAGGCTGCGTCTTCAAGCCGAAGGCTCGGCGGTGCTGGCCGAGCTTCCATTCAGCGCGAAGACCTCTGCTCGTGGTAGCTGGCAGCCAGAACCGGCAAAGCGCTAGCTCCCCAGAGGGCCCAGGAAGAGGGAGGATGGCGGAGGAGGATCCACCACCCCAGAGACCCCATCTCTGGGACAGGCTTGTTGCCACGACTGTGGCGGCGTCGGATCCACAATGATCCACTATAGGCCCAGAAATGCACCGAAAGCGTCGAATGTGGGATACCCCAGAGGCTTCTCAAAACAGCACAAAGGTCAAGCTCCTGCTGCTCCTCCTCCTTCCGCCCGCCTCCTCCGTCCTGTTCATCCCCTTCCTTCAGGTGCGAGCCGGAGAGAATATACCTGGGGGGGGGGATGGAAAGCGGGCGCGGCACCACGGCGACGTCGAACGGCCATCGGTGCTCGCCAATGACCTGCTGCGCACCAGAGACGAATCACTGCAAGAGATCACAACACATGCTCAACGAGATGTTTCGAAATTGCAGAAACGAAAACAAACTTGAACACCAACACTAGACTGCTTACCAGACCATGAAATCCAGTGCGGGCGAAAGCATCGATCCCCGGGGGGGTGTCCGCGCCAACACCTGTTTGAGAACACCGGGCCCAGCATGTCACAGCACATCACATAAGCCACCCGCCCCCTTGCGAATTTGCAGGCAAACTTACGGCGGGTGTGAAATTACGTTTCCAAGTCCAGAACAAGGAGACCAGTATAAGACCACGTTCGAATATCAAACAACAATTGCAACAATATGCGTTTCGTGAACGATACGTGCAGATTTCCGCTGAAGCTGTGCTGCAACATGCTGCACGACTCGTTGCATCCTTCGACGCCGATCCACCCTTTGTCACCGAGCGCCATGAGTAAGGGAACGAATAATGACAGAAAAGTAAAAACTCGGAGGTCCGCGCGGACCTCTGCTTTTTTACGTTTATGTCATTCTCCGTTCCCCTAATGAGACGAGGAGGCAGAACAGAGGAGGGCACTAACCCATACCTGCCTCGCCAGGAGCAGACGAAGCTGACGATCCCCTGCTAAATTCATAGATCGAGAACGACCACGAGCGTCGGACGGGGGACGCTCGCTCGGCGGTCTTTGCTCGGACCCCTGCCAATCTCTCCTATGTGAGCGCTTTCTTATTCGGCGTTTCGACATTGAGCGAAAGGGGGGGTGGTGAGGGGGGCGGGCCTGCCCCCGGACCTCTGCTTAATATCAGGTCAAGCATGTCCTCCTATAGGGGGATCTTGGACGAAAAATTCAAAATAGTCAGAAATATCTACAAGTGGTCAAAAATAGTCAACAAAATCGTCCCCAGACAATTTTGTTGACTATTTCTGAATATACCTCCTGTAGAGGGACACGCCCGTCTTAAGCTCAAGCCGACTGCTTGCAGCAGTGCGTCCTACGGAGGAGATCCCACCTGCTTGAAACTGGCGCCCAAAAACACCCAAGATCGGGCGTTGGCAGAACTGGGTTTAGTGGGACCTGGTTTAAGGATGCGTACTGGGGAACGCCCCCCCCGCCCGTTCCACTAACCGGAGCTGCCGTCACCCGAAAAAACACCAGCTACGGCAGACCTGGTTTAGTGACTCTGGCTAATTTAGGGGCTCCAGGGCCCTACTACTAACCAGGTCCCCTTACCTGGGGTCCTCGCTGTCATCAACTCCAGGGTGCGAAGGCCCGTGCCGATCGGCAGAACAATGAATCAGCATCCGGTCACAAAAGGCACTGGCCACTGCCGGCTCCTTTCGGGCCCTGGGGCCCTAGGCTACCCGGGATGGGGTCGAGAGGTCAGGGAGCCCGTGCAGTAGAAAATCATGACGTCGGATGTCTGGGATACTCACCCTCCAAGCCTCGAAGGCGGTTCTGGTGTCTCGGACTCGTGTCGCATACTTACTCACACTACGAGGACCCCCGTCGCCACGGCCGCAAGGGGCTCGAACAACTGGGCCAGGACGGCGCCCAGGAGACGTCCCAGGACCAGCTAAAAGCGGGGTATGGCTTGGGGGTGGGGGCTCGAATATCTGGGCATCGTGGAATCGTATCGACTTGTTCTGCTGCCGTGAGTCTTAGCTTGGGGTCGTCAGGTACCGATCTGGCCCGATAGACAAGCCACAGAAAGTGGAGGTCGGCAGTTCCGACCAAGACTCAGCATTCTTCGCGATGCAATCTGCTTTCACGACTCCTGATCTCAGGCGCCTTCCCTGCCCTGCGCTGCGACCCGCTTGCATCGATCATTATGTGTCCAACCCTTCTGCTTCTACGTCGTCACCTCAAGTACCTAGTCACCCCGTGGACACCCTGCGGTTTAGAATATGTGTGAGCCCCTCTCAGGATCACCGGCGACATTTAGATGCACCCTCCGAACGCACGGCAATACCTTCCATCGATGCAAACAGCTTCCCCTTCCCACGACAAGCCTCCCTCATGGCAGAGTGGATGTACCTGCATAGCGCATCATCAAATAATGGCGCGATGCACAGAAAGCGACAAGGTAAGGCACGTGTGTAATACACGTGACGCTTCTGTTAAATGTCTCGTGCATGCGAGTCGGAGACGAACCATGTCACAACTCGATGCGTACAACGTGCTCCAAATAACCAACACATGGTTGACGATGACGGACCTAGTAGAGCACTGGCAGTTCAATTAGTCTGTGTTTTGACCACTGTAAGGATAATCATAATGGGTGGGATAGGGAGAAGGAGAGAGAGTGGGAGAGATATATAACATAGAAAGAGAGAGAGAGAGAGAGAAACAGAGAGAGAGAAAGGAAACGCAACCAAAGAGAGAAAAAGAGACAGAGAGAGGGAGGTAGTGAGGGGGGGGGGGGAAATGTATAGATTGACGGGACGTGTATGGATTGCGAGAAGGGCCTCGAGGAGGGCCAGTTCCGGGAGGGAGACGAGGAGGACGGGAGCAGGGAGACCAGACAGAGGAACAGAAACAGGCGGACCGACAACTTGCGAAGGCAGGTTAGCGGATCGAGCATTGTGCGTTTCGGGCCCGCTCTGAGCCTAAAGCAAGCTCCGGGGGCCTCCAGAGGCCTCCGACGGCCTCTGCAGACCTCCCTGCAGGACTCCGCAGCAGCGGGAGAGACCGACTCGGGGCAGAAACGCGCCCCTTGCGCCGCGGGGGTCCGCGGAGCCCGCGCCCTCAGCGTGCCCTCACGCCCCGCACTCGCGCGCCAGCGCCCCTTGCAGCTGCGCGCGCAGGGACCCAGTAAGACTGCTCGGCCCTCCTCGTGTTGCCGTCTCGGGAGAGGGTGGGGTAGGGCACGGGCCGCGCAAGCCGAGACGGCGCACGTTGACGAGAAGAGCATGTAGCAGATGAAAGAGGGGATGCCCTGAACAAGTTGCACATGAGGGAGAAAGAGAGAAAGAGAGAGAAAGAGAGAGAGAGAACGATAACGAGAGAGAGAGAGAGAGAGACAAACCACTATATATAGCGCTCGGTCAACATTATACCTTTCGAATTTGATCAATCATAAACATTGAAAAGGGGAATGTACAGCATAACAATGATTTGGCAGGAGCTCGAAGTGCGAGTCCGCGACGCCGTCGCTTCAAGAAGAGATAGAAGGCGCAATAAAGAATACGGGGGATTTGGAATCCTGAACTGAAGACTTCAAACACACCGCATGCACAAGCATGTTTACAAGCGGATGCAATGCAGACGGCCAAAAGTCCGAGCGCACTCGTCGTCCGAGAAAGAGTCCCACAACTCCTCGCGCACTTTCGGCCCGACGGGGAACTTCAGCTCGACGCGGGCTTGTGCCGGAGATCTGGCGACCAATGCTGGGATGGAATCAGCCAACACATCAGAACAAATCCCTCTCATGCGGTCAATGTGATTGCCTGTTTGTCGATTCGCTGCCCAGTAACTTTGCAAGACGCAGAACACACTCAACTAATTGAAACGCGCCCAGACTTCGGACAGTCGTGCCGTCCACACATGCGACCGTATGAACACATCCTGGCACAACTGTCCTCCCCATGCCCCTCTCTCTCCCCCTTCCCCTCCCCGAGAGTAGGAGAAAGATACTGCTAAGAAGAGCACCCGCACAAAGGTGGTAAGAGTGGCGGCAATCCGCCGACCCTGTCGGCGTGTGTGAGGGGCTTCTCCGTTCGACTCGTCGTCTCCGTCGTCTCCGTCCTCCCCCTCCCAGGGCTCTCCTCCTCAAGCGCGCTATCCAAAGCGAAATTAAACGACGTCGTAGTGGAGTCGAAGGGAAGCCCCTTCCCTTTGATCCCTTCCCCGCAGGGGGGGGGGGAGGGGGGGGGGGCCGGGGCAGATACGACGCCCGCCGGGGCGCACTTTCCTCGAGCGGGCACGCACGGGATGCACTTCCTCCTCCTCCTGGTCCTCCTCCTCCTCCTTTTCCTCCTCCTCCTCCTCCTGCTCCTCTCCTCCTTCTCCTCCTCCTCCTCCTCCTCCTCCTCCCGCAGAGGCGTCCCGGGAGCGGGCCCCGAGTCAAAATACCACCCCCCTAGGGCGCATTTTCCTCGAGCGGGCACGCCCGAGATGCACTTCTTCCTCTTCCGGGAGCACGTCCCAAGTCAGAATATCACACTCCCGGGGCGCACTTTCTTCGAGCGGGCACACAGAGGATGCACTTCCTCCTCCTCCTCCTCCTCCTCCTCCTCTTCCTCTTCCTCGTCCTTCTCCTCCTCCTTTTCCTTCTCCTCCTCCTCCCCCTCCTCCTCCTCCTCCTCATCCTCCGCTTCCTCCCCCCACTCCTAGCCCTTTCGATCAGGGTCGGCGGCACCGGCCGTCAGGCCTCTCCGATTCTTGGCTGGCTGGCGACGCCACGGCTGGATTCGCAGGACATCGAAGGCGCTGCTACATTTGCGCACGATGGGCAAATCCTGGCGGGGTCATAATTTAGCAATGAGTCTGCATACGCACGACCCAGGGCCAGACGCCCCGCTGGGTCCCGCGGCCCACTGACTCCAAATGTGTGCTAGGCTCAACGCGGGCATGTGTCCCTACAGGGGGATTTTGGACGAACATGTTTTAAACATGCACAGAAAATGTTCCAAGATGCGCAACAATAGTACAACAAATCGTCCCCAGACTATTTGTTCCTACGTTTGAATATTCCTCCTCTAGAGGGACAGGCCCGACTTAAAGCTAATGACACCATCCCCTCGGCAACAACAAGGCCACCGCTCGCGCTGCTTCCTTTGGCGACAAGCCCCAAAACTGGGCGACGCCGCGACGGGGCCCCCGATCGTGGCCTGCAGCCACCACGAGTACTCTCACTGTACAAAAAAACCTCCCGCGGCATCCTCCCGGCCACACGTCCCTTCAGGCACTACCTGCTTGGCGGGGCCCCCGCGGCGACGGGCCCAGAGCCCGGCCAGCACCCGCGGGCGCCCCCACATGACGAACGAACAACACACACCCATACCCATAGGGGGGTCGTTGGGAGGAGGACTAGCTGTGGGTATGGGCGCGGGTTGTCGGACCCTGGGGAACGCTCCCGCTAGAGCAGGGGACCCCCATCCGACAACACGCACCCCTAGCCCTCTCCGACCGCCCTGTGGGCGTGAGTGTGTGTGTGTGTGTTGTTGGTTCGTCACCCCAGCCCCAGCCCGAGACCAGGGCGCCCCCGCCAAAGCCCCGGGCCCCCCGGGCGTTAGAGGATCCAGGGTCGAGGAGCGAGGAAAACGTTCGAAGATCGAGGAGCGAGGACCCATCTTGGCACTTCCTTGGCCCCCGGGGGCCTCCGCAGAATCTCGCCCTCGGCTGGAGACCGGCGGGCCCCCTCCCGCGGCCGAGAGAGAAAGACAGAGAGGGCAGCAACCGCGAGCTGCACTCTCCCCTGGCGAGCCAGCTCGCGTGCCACCCGGGGCGGGTTCGCGTGGGCGGGGGCCTCCCAATACGACGAGGCGACGCAGAGATGCACGAGCTGTGGGAGGCGCCATGGGGACTGAAAGGATTGCCGGGGCCCCTGTTCATTCTGTCTTTCGCGCCGGGCCGACGAATTCCTCGGCCCGGCGGAGCGCCCGACCGCCGCGGCCGCGACGGGGCGCACCCGAAAGCGCGCGAACGAGCGAGCGACGAGCGAGAGAGCACGCGGCGGCAGCCGAGCCAGCGGCGAAGCCCGCAGCGGGCGGGCGGCAGCCAACGGGAGGGAAGGGCAAGCACACACACACGCCCAGGCAGGGCATGCGAGGACCGAAAGAGAGAGAGCCCCTCTCGCACTCCTCCTGCTCGCGCTCCCTTCCCGCTCGCCCCCGGGGTAGAGGGAGGCACGAGCAGGACCAGGACGCAGGAGGCAGGACCAGGTAGGGGGCGAGGAGAGGCAGGCGGAGGATGCCGAGGAGCGAAGGAGCAAGAACAGGAGCGGAGGGACGACGAGGAAGGGCAGAACAATCCGAGAGGAGGGGGGGGCGCAGGAGCAGGAAAGGCGCGCACGCGTATGACAAGAACGGGCCGATTAGTTATGGAATGGAGGGGAAGAGGAGAACGAGAGGGCGTGGGGGGATTAGGCCGCGAGGGATTCTGAAACATGGTGGTAAGAGATGAGTCGGGGGGTGGACAAACTTCCCTTCAATAAACCTCCCTTTAGTGAAAACGGCCTAGGACCGAAACCGACGGACCTGGACCCGCAAACATGACGGCCGCGACGCCCTCTCGCGAACCGAAAACGGCCAATTCCTTAATCGACGTGTCAGGGTAGCAGGCCCACCAACCTCCGATTGAGGGGGAGGGGACCCAAGCAGGAAGGTCATGGATCCTCCGCCCCTGCCCCCTCACGTTCCTCATCGCCCTCCGAATTCTGCTTCTCCCACGCTTCCTATCCTCCCCCCCTGCTCCCCTCTCGTCGTTCCTCTTCCTCCTCCCCCTCCGTATGCCCCTGTCCCTCGCCACAAACGCACCAGCGTAAAACCATTACAACGCCGCCCCCCCCCCCCCCTCTCGCCGCGCCCAGTTGCATGCACCACCCTCTGCTCCCGAGTCCACGACCCGTCGTACAAAAACCATGGCTCCGATCCCTTGGAAACAAAAACAAAAAATACGCGTCCGCATCCCCAGCTCCCAAGACGGCCCAGGCAGGCAACCAAGGCAACCAAGATGGCACACAACGCCTCCAAGACGGGCCAAGATGGCCCTAAGGCGGCCCAAACCTGGCCTCAAAGCGGCTCAGGATGCCTCCGACAGGGCATGAAGAAGCCAAAAGCATTGAATCCCTATGGGATTTGAATGGTGCTCGCATTCTCGCTTTTTCGGGCTGAATTCCGTCAGCTCAAAGCGACCTGAGAAGACTTCACGATGGCCCTAAGACGGCCCAAGAGGCCACGACAGGGTCCAAATGTGGCCCGAAGGCCCCAAGGCATCCAAAACGACCCGAGAGGGCCTCCCGTGGGACCCAAGACGGCCTCACAAGGCCCTTCGACTGCGCACGACCGAGCCAAAACGGTCCCACGACGGCCCCCGAGCACCAACTATACTGCCAGTTAAGCCCCAAGACGGCCGAAGAGAGCCCAGACGGCCTCAGAAGGTCCCAAGACGTCCCAAAAGGCCCTGAAAAGACATCCAGGACCGCCTTACAAACGAACACAACCACAACACGGCCAAAACGAGTTCTGTGAGAACTCCTGAAACAACAATGGGGGCCAAGCTATTGTACCACCCTCATTCCGGGCAAACCTGAGTTCTAACGACTGGACCGAACTAAAAATGCAACTCCATGAGGACACATGTTAAAACCCTTCCCCAAGCCCGCTGCTCAGAAAGGATTATCCAGAACGTTGCCAAAGCTTACCCTTACCCACACAAAATTGGCTGGAGGTGGGTTCCACGAACAACTCGAGTGGTTGAAACGGGAAAGGGTTTTCCGAAATCTGGCGGCGGCCCCCAAAGGGTGGGTTCGGAACAAATCGAAGGCTGATGGAAGGCGAGCGGCTTTCCCAAAGTTGGCGTCGGACCCCAAGGTGCGTCGCCGACAAAAATCAACACACACATTTCCCGATGCGGGTTCGCCGGGCGACGACGACGACGACGAACGACGAAGGAGTGGTCTCGGGCGACAACGACGACAACGACAAACTGCGGATGCCCCAAGGGAGGGCAACGCAAAACCCACCGACGACGGCGGTGACGACGGCGACGGCGACGACCAACGACGCTGGCGACGACAACGACGAGGACGACGGCGACGACGAAACTGCAGAAAACAACGACACGTCGACAACGCTAACTTAGGAATAACAGATCACCCACGTCATCATGAAATCAGGCTGCATGAAGCTTGAAGCATGTGGTCCACATGGGATCACCGGCGACATAATCAATAGTAGTAGTAATACTCATAGTAGTAGTAATGGTCGTAGTGTAATAATAATGATAAGAGTAGTAGTAGTAGTAGTATTAATAGTAGTAGTCGCAGTAGCAGTAGTAGTAGTAGTAGTAGTAGTAGTAGTAATAGTAGTAGTATAGTCGTAGTCGTAGTCGTAGTAGTAGTAGTAGTAGTAGTAGTAGTAGTAGTAGTAGTAGTAGTAGTAGTAGTAGTAGTAGTAGTAGTAATAGTCGTAGTAGTAGTAGTAGTAGTAGTAGTAATAGTGGTAGTAGTGGTGGTAGTAGTAGTAGTAGTCGTAGTAGTAGTAGTAGTAGTATTGGTAGAGACAGTAGTAGTAGTAGTAGTAGTAATAGTAGTAGTAGTAGTAGTAGTAGTAGTAGTAGTAGTAGAAGTAGTGGTGGCAGTAGTAGTAGTAGTAGTAGTAGTAGTAGTAGTAGTAGTAGTAATAGTGGCAGCGGTGATACTCATAGTCGTAG